CTCGTTGAAAAACCGTTTGTTCGTCTTAAAAAGACCCAAAAAAACGCACAAAAAAGGTAACATTTGCCTGAAATAGTGGGGGCGCGTGTTTTGTTAACGTTCTCGTTTGTATTTCGTTTTGCTGTTGGTTTCAATACAGTGGTTTCAATTTCGTGTTGTGTCTGTTTATCTCCTGGTTTGTCTGTGTGTCCTGAGAATTGTGTTGTAAGCCCCATAATGTAGAGTAGAAATTAACCATGGTAAAATGAAGTTAAATATCATAGCGTCATTTGGCCATAGTTCCCAGTATGATGTACAAGTTGAATTTCATCAAGACGCAATTTTTTTTGGAAGTCGGCATTGCCTGTAGCAGTGTAACGGGTGTCCGTAGAAAACACCGATGCTGTCAACAAGCGGTCGCGTACACAAGGCACGTAATATTACGTCGTCCGCACAGAAGTGGCAAACATGCGTAGAAGTAAGCGTCCACTAACCACCGCAATAAGTGATTATCCGTGGTCCGCACACCAGTGCGGAAAACATGCGATAGCACGATAATATTACGTTTACGTTATACCTATTCACATCTATCTATATTCTAATTTTGGAGTCCGTATCATCAACCAGTACCTAGCATACAATAACACACATTCTGTGTGGGTGTGTGTATTTCACTGTGTACTTGCCCAAGGTTCATGTGTTACGTGTAAGCATGATTGCATGCACATGTATTTTGTATTGACATCTCAACCATAAAAAAACAAAACATGTGCAACAACTAAACTACTCGCTCTATAACACCTAACACATAACACTACTGCACTGGTAACACATCCATCACAGTCACTAAGCCCGCGCGTAGCGCGGGTTTCAGCTATTAATAATAAAATTTAAAGTTCATTTCAACTTTACCAAGAGGGAATTACCTCTTCAATAAGTTATGCACTGATCTGTATCATTCATGCAAATTTTAAATGTGGCAAGTGGCTTCATCTTACTTGGACAATTACTTCGGCATTGTGTTTGCACCCGATGCTGATAATGTTGCACATTGTATTATTGCTAGCAAATACATTTGGCACTATCTACATAAATCATTTGAAAGCTGACATATCCCCTCAGTGAACCGCAGTACGAGAATGTCTGGACAATTGACTGTGCGAGTGTGTTTATCTCACATTTCGTAGTTCTGACCAGGCCAAAAAAGCACTAACACTGAACTTGTGAGGTACATGGCAATCCTATTCGAAGTGGCAATCACCAACATCAATATACACTAGTGACCCATGGGCCATATGCTGAGTTCATGTCATGTTGGCCTTCATGTCAATTTGTTTGAGCATGCAGCACACCAGCAAACAATTATACGAAGCATGCATGCAGTTTTAGCAAATGTTATTGACATGTGAAATGTTCATAATTTATGTGGAGAAGAAGTAAGTAGATGTAATTATCATACAATTCTGTGTTCCGCCCCCAGATGAGAGATTGGCCAGAGATTTCCTGCAATTGATACACACACTACTGATGACATTATTGCAAAATTGGGACCACGAGCAAAAGTTTATGGGCGAACTTAAAGCCCACAAGGTGTGGGTGTATCATGCTGGGCAAACTTCATATGAAGGAATTGAAATGAGGCACCTCCACTGCCATCATAGTGTGATTAAGTTAGTACATTCCAGCTAACACCATGTAACACACCTAACCATTATCCGATCTACGCATTCATAGATGCGCAACCATCTATTTCGGACCCTCTCCTACCATATCCCATTCTCCTATATATAGCCTTATACCGTAATACCCTTCCCTCATACAGCTACCGGTATACCGGTCAACACACACCTCATCGTGATCGTCAATCGATGAGACCATAACAGCAGCCCCTGACTCGCTTGGGTCATCCGCCTCTGAATCACAGAAAGACTGATGAAATTCTCGCATTCCCGAACCTTTCCCAGTAATGGAAATGGCTGCAAGGACAAAGGCTATATAGACTGGGACTCGCTCCCACCTCGATTACGCCATCGAGTGACTAAGCTAAAGCCGAGAACACGTAGCAATGCGAGAGGGTCATAGTCCCCCGGGGTACTGCCGAAAGTACCCTGGTACGGTCTGATATACCGGACGTACCCTGTACCATCTAATATGCGACACCGTACCTCGCCTACTCCACTAACGACTCTAGGGAGTCGCCTACGCCTACTCCCTAACCCGAACCCTAACCCATATTGGCGTTCGGCCATGTGGTGCCCATTCCAATTGCATAACCGCTTAGTATATGATGGATATATCCACTGTATCGATACCGCAGAATATAGTACCAATGTTACCATGCCCATCCGCGCATCGTAATATATCATGCCCAAACCGCATTATCCAATATAATCCCGTCACATTGACCACGCCAATATATTTCCCATATGCGTATATATAGGTACTGCGTAATTACTGATCGGTACTGATAATTACATTCGGTAGGATAGCGGCGTGTTCTCATCTGCGTTATTTGGTGCTTATATGATTATTTCGGTACGTGTATGTGCTTATAGGCAGCATTATATCGCAAGTTGATATACCATCGTAATATACGGCAGTTCTCATATGTGCGCGCCATGCTCACCAGGTTGCCATATATACCATCAGTTTAACATATATATATGGATATATGGTATATATGGACGATGGATATATAACGACAGGGCTAGCATTACAACTAGCGTGTGTCCCCAGCTGAAGGTCATTGTTCTCACTAGGAATAGTAGTGTCGGTGGGCTGCTGAGTGTCCACTATTCGAGAATCAACAGTGTCTTTTCCAACTGTGGCCACTGTACGACCCACTGGAGGGTAAAACTCACCAGGCGTTTCCAATACAGTATTCTCTGGGTCGGTTAACCCCCTCTTGCCCTCAAACTTCACTAGGTTGTCCCCATGGACATGCCGCAAACTTGGCCCAACCCCAAGGAAATAGGATGTTCGTCCCATGCATTTCACCACTCTTCCCAGCGACGACGTACAGTCACTACGATTTTTCACACTCACAGCATCGTTCGGTGGAAATTTATGCAATTTCATTCTGCTTCGATCATGCTGATATTTCTGCTGCCACTGTTTGTCAACTACATGGTCTTCAAGATTTACCACTACCATGCTGATGGCATTCAGCAGATCTGTTCTGTGGACAGATGACAGATGAATCTAATTAGGATAATACCTAATTGCATGGATGACCCATGTGCAACTGCTGTTCGCATGGAACCCTTCTCCACTTGCTACTAGCCTTTGCTTTCTGGAATCTCGTTGCATCGCAGAAGAGTTGGCAGTGCAATACTCATTGCACCATTACGCGATGCTATGACCAGGTGATTTGCCCTGCGGCCTACAGCGTTGGATTTACCAGAGCAGGTGTTCGATGTATATGGCATTGCATCTCCCTTAATGGCAAGCTTGTGAAACAGTTGTGATTTCGCTAAGGACCGGTTCCTGTGATCATCAATGACAACCTATGTGCGAAGAGCAAGGTCGGGTCGATCTTTCTGATACACTTTAGCTAGGCATATGTTAGCACACGACTTTGCTCCGATCCCGGACCCACAGACTTCAGTACACGAGGTGGTGACGGTGTCTTCCTTTGACTCCATACATGATCCATGTATCATTAGGTCAGGATACTGATATGATCCAGCAGTTCGCATGCATTATAACGCGCGGTTATGATGCATGACCATTCCTGGTGGTTCACCTCCGTGGCAGTCATCAAAGATGTGTCTGTGCAATCCAGATCTTATGAGTCTTAATGAAGACAAGTAAAAATCCTAAAACAATTACAGGGGTCTGGTTGAAGGTTTCCATATGGTCCGCTGGGTATCACAACAAAGGAAAAGGCAGTGCAACGGCAGAGGTACACGTAAGCTACACGCCTGCTGCGGGCAGTACAGTTCTTTTCTAGATGGTGTGAATCGACCCATGAAATCAATGCCAGTGATTGTTGGCAAAATGTGCTGTAAATTAGCAGATCTGCAACGCAAACACACATGCTTGCGTATGTGGTGTGTGCTACCGTTAGTTCGAGTGGAGCATGCGTGTGTATGTGTGTGCGCGTTCGTGCGCATGCTTGTCGTAAATGCAATAGGTGCGTTCGGTTTAAAAGCTTCTGTTAATTTTAAAGTTGTTGAGTTAAAATGCATGTTTTTTCTTCTAAGAAACCATGTTGTTGGTGTTAATTCTCAGTAACATGCATATATTGGAACTCCTTTGTGCTGTAAACTGCACAGACACTTGCAGCAATTCAGCCTACAGTCATGCCATATGCACGCCGCTGCACATTTACACTATATATAAATATGTTAGTTCTCAGATGTGTCCTTTACCACTGTTAACATTTCAAACATTCTTGCTGTATTATGGTGATATATTTATGTAGCGTTAAGCATCATGCACACCCGTTGAAACATATTTGTGTGTAAAATCATTATGATTATTCTTGTTAATTGTATATAAACTTAATTTCAGAATTGGATTAGAAATAAGAAGAGAGCGCTTTCGGGGAAGTTATATACACGCCCACATGAAGTCACCACTGCACACCAGAGTGGATTCAACTTGTTCTGCAAAGGCAGCAAATACAGTAAGCTTTCAGGATATGTACTTTCTGAACATGTGCTTATAAATAACTATGTGTAGATAGGAGGCCCGATACAAGTATGAGCTGTGTGGCCTGCCGGATTACATATTCTTACTTTATTTCACGTGTCTCAGCTAGTACACTGCTAGACTGCGAAGGGACCACGCTTCACAAGTGGTCGGAAATTAGAGATGGTCGCCATAATGCCCAATACTTGGCGCACCTCATCGCTAATGATGAGGCATACATGGGCGCCAAGCACAACATCAAATCTGCAGATGCTGTCATCATCGACGAGGTGTCAATGCTCAGCTAGCTCACACTCGAGTCGTTTGAGACCATCTGCAGGCTAACCAGGTCGTCTAATATTCGGTTTGAAGGCTTGCAAGTCATCATGGCCGGAGACTTCTTCCAGCTATCTCCAGTTCCGAACGCAGAATACAGAGATTACAGCCACTACCGCTTCATGTCGCCCGTCTTCAGCAGTTTCCCACATACAATAGAGCTGGACCAGGTACTTCGCCAGCAAGATGATACCTTGATCAGCTGTATCAACCAGCTCGCTAGAGGCCAGTTGCTATCAGACACCTCGTTGTCTCTCTTAACAGAGGTATCTCGCCCTCTGTACCAATCACAGGACACCATTGTTTGTCTTGTAAGAAATTATGAAGCAGATGTCTTCAACGCTGAAAAGCTGGGCCAGCTCCAGGGTGAGCCTACAATTTCGACTGCAAAGGACAGTGCAGACTTGCGCACGTTGAAGAGGTCCAGAGTACCTAAACACGTCGCGTCAAAACTCGGTGCACCTGTGGTTTTGACGGCCAATCTGGCAGACACCTTGTTTAATGGCCTTCTGAGAAGAGTACATGCGATATCGTCGGCAGGGCCTCTCATAAAATTTGACATTAACGGCTGTGATGAGGCTACTCCCATCACACCTCACCTATTCTCCATGTACTCTCCTACAGAACAGAAGGTCACTGCTACAAGGAAGCAACTGCCATTGCTTCTGGCATTTGGCATGGCGATCCACAAGTGCCAGGGCATAACATTGCCATCTGTGGAGGTGCACTGCAAGCACATTTTTGCACCTGGCCAACTCGGAGTTGCCGTCGGTAGAGCCACGCACAGGGATGGTCTTCGCGTGGTTGGCTTCACATCAAACTGCGCGAAGGAACATCACCAGGCTGTCATTGACTTTTACCAGCAACTAGTCAATGCCGACACTCAAGGTCTCTCTGCCAGGTTTGCGACACCGGTGCACTCCCTCAACATGTCGAAGAAGACGGCGACAGTGACTTCTCCTCGTTCTCTGAGGGGGAGATTCAGAGGATCGACGAGATGCTGTCGGCTGCGCCCCCCCGAGCGATATTGCCCCTGCAGAGCATTCGGCCCTAGAGGTTAGTTCCCTGCAAGAAGGTATCCACAAGGTACTGCCTGACTTGTGAAGTACTTTAAACATCACTTATTACTATTAAATCTGTTACCAAACATTGCATGAAGTGTCCTAGACAACTAATGTACAAATAATTCGTGAGTTTTAATTCAATAAAGTATGTAATTAAGCTGTAAATTACAATTAATTTAATTTTAACCACCACTGTAAAGGCTGGACTGTATTCTTAAGTACAGGTTACGTATACCCGAATTTGATCGCTTCTTGAGCGCAAATACAACGGCACTAGATATCGATATTTTGGGTGTGGATCACACTGTAAACAATCTATAGTTCCAAGAAACTAGACGGTCCAATATCGATCGGATATCAATTTAATTGTTTCAATTTGGTCGAAAATGAAAAAGTCACCTAAGTAATCGTAATTTTTGACAAGGACGCCAGGGAGGGGGGCAGCAAGGGTCCTTAAAATTTGACGGACGTTAGTGTACAAGGTGTCGTATATTCACAGCAAATATCTAGTCCGACTGACTTTTCTTTCGAGTGTTATAAGCAAAAAGGTGCAACGAATTAAACCCTGTTTTCCCCAAACTAAATAAAATACTAATCAACATTTCAAAATTCCTATACTTTTGTCGCCAATAGACAAGGCCTAGAGCTACATGCTGATGTCCTTTGCTAATCGATCTCTTTCCAATCGATAATTATCGGCAAAAACGTGGAGGGCATTTGGCAGAAATTATGAACATTGGTAGCCTATGGACAGAAATTGGGTGGAGCAAAATAATGAAGGTTGCCACGTCGTCCATCTGTCGGCGTCTCTAAAGACGAATCCTCGTATTAATCGGTTATCGAGTTATTGGGATTTCAATTCGATCAATATTTCATATTCTTAAGTTATGACAAAATATTGGTCACTAGTATGGATATAGGATATAGTTGGAGTGTACTGCCTTCAGCTTTTATTGATATTGTTTTTATCTTACATAGATCATGAGTGACAAGAGGTCTTCCGCCCCTCTGGTAATTGCATACCTTATATTAATATTGTAATAATTATCTTTAAAATATCCTTTTCCGAAACAACACAATCACATACCAGCTAAAACAGGTCGGATAATGGGCCACACGTATTCCATGTAAATACGTCCGAGTAGATGCATAACTCGGCAGGGGAAGAACAAAGTATCCTGCCAGTTATGCGCGAACGATTGTGTTGTGCTATGGGCAATGGTAGCAGCAACACATACCCAGTGCTGTGGGCAGTGTACTTAGTGCATTGAGCATGTACTACAGTTGTACTACAGACTGTCCGCCGGGACTCTGCCCCGAAGGAGGGGAGAGTGTAAGGTGTCTATACCGTCACCTACGAGTCGAAGCCGTACTACAGGATTCCATACAGGCTTCGACCCAGGATTCACGTGTTTACTTTCTTTGGGCATTTTCCTCAACTATTGCAAATCCAGTTGTGTTCATCACATCTAATAGCGCAGCTTCGTTTTCTACATTAGTAGTACTAATAGTACCTTCTTTGTACATACATACACAAACGTCATGCACGAGAGTAAAAGTAGGATGCGTTTGTTAATACATACTTGTTAATACCACTTATACATAAAAGGCTACATCAGCACTTCACATGTCTCTTACAATACTTCAACATGTGAAGAGGCAACCTACATCAATGAGAACTTTAACTCGCCTTAAAGTTACACCCGAGTTCTTGAGGTTTATATCCAGGAAATCTATTCCTATGTTTGTTAATAACAAACACTAACAATAAATGCTGAACAATTACTAATCTACAAGTGTTGTTAACAATCTTTTCAAGACTTTGAAGTCAACAATGACCTTTCCGTGATTCAAATATGGCGCCGCACACCAGCTTACACGCTGGTCAGAGCATCATGGGTAAAACAGTGTGACAACAATTTCAGCGTAACGACCTATTTCCAGAGGAATGCGAATTCACAATAACCTATGACTTATTACTAGTAAATAATAGGTATGAAGTATAATCCGTTATTCTACACATTTCACGAAAACATGAAATTCTAGATACACGGTCTAACCAGGGCAACAACACGTAGCATCTGTAACCCAGCTTCGTTGTACGGAAGCCTGTCTCGAAAATAATACCGCACGCCTATTACACATATAGAATGTGTATACATTCATATACGCAGCTATGTTTTTAAGTAATTCTGTTTATGTTTTTAACCAATAATACATATCATTTATGATAATGCATATCGTAACACAGTGTCATAACCATACGTGAATTGACTTACAGTAACATGAGCTAGGAATTAGTCATTTTACGAACAACGCCACTTACTCATGGCATCTGTGGATCACGATGTTCACAGCCAATTCGACGAGTTCCATCCGCAACGCTTTTCATGATGTCCTATTTGCTTCATCGTCCACCGGCATACCATGCCCATAACGTTGATATGTGTTTCATTGTTTGCGTGGTGTCCTGTGCATGACGATATTGAACTGCATTCAACTGAAATCTAGAAGGAGCGCATGGAACGATGTTGCTAACAAATTAATCTATCATCATCACTAATGACACTATGCATTAATAGCCTAACATGCCATCTGAGCTGAAAAATGCTCAGTCAGTGCATACGTGCACACTGGGGCGTGCAGCTTAGCAGTTCCGTCTGCAAAACAATCATTGTCGACTTGTGTGTCCGAGTGGTTATCATGACAATCAGTCGGGCTATTTTAATAGCGCTTTTTAAAGTGCTATGACTCGTGACGCCATAGCACCGCTTTGGCAGAGGCTGCAAACCGTGTGAGAGCCATAGTTACTGCCGCCGTTAAGCCGCGCTTCCTTGAATTTGTTAAATGTTACATTCACATCACTGCGCACAAATGAAATTGCGTCAACACGCACGAACGGCGATGCCAATGGTTTATTGTAATTAGACAGTCGCATTGCCCTCGTCCGTACGACTTGTAAGTCGGCTGTTGGATGGCGGACGAAGCGAACCGCACGAGACGGTTGGCCAGCTGAGGCAATCCAGGATCACGGTTGCGTCGGTCGGAGCACGACCTTGCGGTCTTGTGCAGTGCCCGTGCGGGTCGACACGCGTTTCGTACCACAGCCCGACCGGCCAAGCCCTTACAGCCAATTGTTTTGCCGAACTTACGCATTTCACTTGGCGACTTGCCTTACCTACATTGTTGTATCGACTACAGGCTGTTCACCTTGGACACCTGCTGCGGATATCGGTACAATGTGGCACGAAAATGACACTGTCTCCCTCGGATTGCCAACGGTCGACGCCAGTGCACCGGACAGCTGAAGAGCGGCGGTGCTTTACGCAAAGAACATGCCTATCTCCGGCCAAACGGATTCCATGGAGTGAGCCCCTTACAAAGAAAACACAACTCTTCCCGGCACTACCGCCCACATCTCCGAGTTCGTTTGCGTTACCGCACTGCACCCCGAAGGGCCAATCTCCGTGTCCGGTTTAGCGAATATTAACCCCATTGCCTTTCCATCGACGGCGGCAAAAACACATTGCCGTCGCTTGACAATCGCCTTTGCCTATCTCTGACGATCGACTGTCGCTTCGGAATGCCCTTCGCCTATCTC